GAAGAAATCGACAATGCAGAATCGAACGAACACACGAGTTTTACGTGGTATCCCTGTTCGATGTGAACAGGACTAATCCACGGAGAGTGAAACCACTCTCAGGCTGATGATATTATTAGGTTTATGAGAGATTTCTGAGAGTTAGGGTTCTCGACCACTGATTACAATGAATATATATATGAGAGAGTCCAACCCTTCTTCCTGTTACTTGGGCGGACGAATGAAATAGATAGACAATTACCATCTTTATTCCTAACTATCAAATATGGACAATCAAGGACTAAAGAGTAGTAATCGAGGACTCGTAACACTCGTAACACTGTGAAATGCTGATCTCTTATTCTTTTCTCCGTTGACGACAATGGGTAGCTAACAGATGCCTTACTTAATTACCGACGGAAGTTCTAACAGAGAAATAGGATTAAAAATTGCAGGGCGGAATCATGCCATTATTCGATCGGCTACATACCAAACCGATTCGAGACGTTGCAATGTTCCACGACATTCATGAAATAAAATTTCTATTTCATATGTAGTTCCTACTACAATATCAAGATGTAAGGTAGGACGCACATCTCATCACGACCGGTGATACTGTCCATATTTTCCAATGTTAAACATGATAACATGAAGAAGATCAATGAATCTGTTTGATCAGCCGCGTTAAGGTGTACAAGAATGTGGGGGATTCCTCTTGTTTAATCACCGTTCGGCTACTAAATGGATTCTTTTCTCTTGTGGGGATGAATTCTGCGGTTTCCTATTTGTGTCCGCCGGATTTGGCCTTTGCTTATGCCGGCTCGGGGAATCTGAGAGAGACGCCTACGTACGTTCATAAAACTGCTAGCTTACTACTTCCTAGTGAGGGCACAATTTAATGGGATTTCAAGTGGAATTGTATATCTGACACGCTCATGCAATTGAATTATGCAAATTTCATTATTGATGTTGTTGATAAGAAGGCAATTTCATCTTTAAAATGTTGCATATCAAATACAAATATGGCTGCAAAACTAGCCACGTCATCTCCTTTTATTTACTATTAATATCAATATTTTAGATTTTATGTTTTTATAATTACTAGTTTTTTTTAGCGGATATTACATCATCCACATCAATACACTTGTAAAAGTAATTGTATTGGTGCTTTTTTTTCACCTCAATTCTTTTGCAATCGCCACAACAGTCTAGCCGTTAGATGTACTTTGTTGAGCTTCGACCAATCTCAACGGTCAATTATAAATTTTCCATTAAATTGAACTTTGGGTTTGAGTTTAGAGAACCGGCGCCTATGGTCTATCCATTAGAGTTTAGGGTATAATATCATACCCGAAACTCGGTTAAAATCATGGTCAAGAAAGAGATATCTCACTAAAAATACCTGAAGTATAGTATACTCCAGTAGTACACTAGTCTAAAACATATATATACATATGGTGCCATCTACGGTACCCCGGATGAAATCCGGGGTACCGCATACCTTGAGTATGAAAACGCTATCAAGACATCAAATTAGCAGGATTTTTTGGCATGATACTATACCCTAACCCTTAATGAGTGAACCCTAGGTCCTAATTATCTAATTCATAAACTATAAACCCTAAGATGTGCATTTATTTTTTTTTGTCTATATTTGGATGAATCATAACCGTTGATTATTGTTTTTAATTAAATTGATCTTGGGGTATAAGATTTAAAAAATTAAGACCTAGATTTTGATCTTTAAGGGTTAAAGTATAGTATCATGTCCGAAAGATCAGTCAATTCAAATTTCTGGATAGCGTTTTCTTACTCAAGATATGCGGTACCCCGGATTTCACCTGGGTACCGTACAACTCCCCATATATATATATATAAAAGAGAATCAACTCAAGTTGTGTAAGATCCTTGTATTTTCAAAGTAAGAGGAAAATCAATTGTATTTAGTCCTTCTAGGGGTGTAAGCTTGCCCTAAATATCCACGGGCCCGGTCCGACTCGACCTTCTATTCACGAAAGATGGGGAGGAAAGAAAAATGTACAGAGGGAGTGAAAATTTTAGGACAGTGAAATAATGAGAGGAATGTGGTGTTTAATTTTAAAAGAAAATATTTTTTAACATATAAAAAATACATGGATAAAATTGTAACCTATCAATGATATTAAAACTAACTTAAGAAAATAAACAGTAGAAATGCAATTGAGTGGATGATAGCCACCTCAATCAAAACATAATTTCTTTCTCTCAATTCTCCTTTCATTCCTTCACTGTCCCTGTAGTTAATCAAATTAAGCTATTAAATTATTACTTAGTAGATATATCAGAGTTAGAGAATAATGATATGGAAAATATTATACTCTATCTTATGGATTAATTGGGCGGATATGGGTTTGGATATATCTTTGTTGACTTCATGATAGGGGTGGCAGTCGGTCGGTTTTTGGTTAAACCGAGCTGTCCCCTATGTCTGCCGACGACCGACCGTGAAGGGAGTCACGGTTAACCGACCACCAGGTCGGTTTAACCGTGGTAAGAGCAACAAATCATTCCTCATCCCCCTGTTCCCATCTCCTTCTACCCTTTCTCGATCCGTCTACCCTTTCCTCGATCCTCCCCCTGTTCCCATCTCCTTCTACCCTTTCTCTCCCCAAAAAAAATCATTCATCTCCTTCTACCCTTTCCTCTCCCCAAAAAATCATTCATCCTCCCTCTCCGTTCACGAGATCTATTTCTCTACCCTCACAACTGCCATCAATCTACACAGATCTCGCTGAAGCTGCTGCTCGACGTCGACAACAGAGGCGGAGGTGGAGGTGCGACTTGAATCAGGGACGAGATTTGGGCGGAAGGGGAGGCAATCTCACGGGGAAGACCGTCCTTCGAAGCGGAGGAGGCGGAGTTGATGCTCGCCTTCACTTATACTCGATGACGACGACGGTGGAGTCGGCGGACGCGCAACGGCCAACGGGTGTAGGGGACGAGAGTTGGGCGAAGGCGGAGGCTTGCCTGCTCTACTAATCGACGACGACGAATGCAGAGGTTGAGGAGGTTCGTAGGAGAACTGGGTGGAGTCGGAGGTGAGGCGCGGCGTGGCGCGAGATCGGGGAGATGGGGGAGGGTAAGGGTCGTTGAACTAGGTTATTTGATTTGGGGGTGAAGGGTTTTCAGCGGTTTTGGGATGGGGAGAAGGGGATTTTCGGTGAGGGTCTGTTATCCGGTTAGCCGCGGTTAATCATTCCCGGTTATTCGGCTAACCAGATCTCTCTGATGGGCATCCGAACACCAACCGAGGTCGGTTTTTGCCGGTTTTTGGTTAGTCGGTTTTCGGTTACAACCGGCGGCTAACCGCTAACCGGCAATCGATTTGTCAGCCCTACTTCATGATATAGTAGGTTTGTTTAGTGTTATAATCAAAATTTACGTGTAAAATCTTAGGTATAATAATCTTCATGACTTGCATTGCATACTCAATTAAAGTAGTTAGATTTGAGTAGTTACTATAAAAGACCCTATGGAATACTACGCTAGTATATTTACTACGCATTATCCCCCAAATTTTAATAATGACAAGCATGCCCCTCCCTTTATAAGTTCACATTAATTGTGGTATCCCATTGAAATATAAAAGTTATTAAAACGAAATGTTCTTATTGGTTGTAGCCAGTATTAGCACAATGCTAACAAATTAAGTGTTAGCACCCTAACTCTTCTCTGATATTACATAAACGTTTCTATTAAAATATATCAAAATGAATATAATCTATGAGAATATAATTTATTTATTTTTCTGCATAAATGAAACTAAAAGTCAAACTAAGATAAATGGAATATAATTCATTAAGAAATTAATAAAGAAGCAAAATTATACATGTCTGGACTCTTGTTCGTTGGGAAACGTCCAATGTTGTTAACCACTTGTTCTCGCCTCTTCAATATGAAACGAGAAATAAATGCTATTCTTTTTAGCTTCGATCCATCGTTTTCTACACAAAACAACAACTCATCTGATTATGACGAGATATTGGGGAACTCGCCTACACTTGGAGAGCTCACTGTCTAAGCTCGTGTCTCACGTGGCATGCTCACAATTCTGTTCTCATTTACTTGGCAGTAACATTAGCTCATTATTCGTTCTACAAAAAAAAAAAAAAAAAAAAACATTAGCTAATTATTCTTCAAAAAAACCTTATTTGTTTATATAATACATAAACAGGAATAGAAGAAAATAAATACTCTTATCATCTAACTAAACATTGAGCTCATCGTTGGGGACAAGGGGTCAAAGATCCTTAACATCATGTATAGAGAAGTGGGAATTTTGGACGGCAAAACAAGGTTCTAAAAGAAATGGTGAAATTGCATATGACCCCTTCAACTCTCATGGTTTGGTCAAATGAAGTCCCATAAGCTACATAGTATATTCAAATCCATCCGCAAAACTTTTATATGTACAAGCCAAGATAACTTCAAAAGTTCAATTCACTGTATTTTAGTACGACGAATGAAGTTATACGTAGTATCAGCCTTAGCTGGACCCTTCATTATGTGTACTTCCGCACCGCGATAAAGACACCAATATATACACCACAATCATTGAAATATCAGGCAGAGTGCTAGTAGTAGTATCGTCTAAGGAGTTAGAAATGTGTATTACGCAAACAGAATAATCGCAATGACGACATCCCAACCCAACTATATATATATACTCAAATGAGATCTCATGTTCAATTGCTCAAAAATAACATGCAGTCGAAGTCAATATGTTAGTAATTGCTTGAAGTTTATAACAAAAGTAAATCGACATATTTTTAGGAGTCAAAAGAGCGCCAATTTGTCGAATTAAGACTCTGTTAGGTCCATATCCAAAAAAAAAAACATAAATTTTAAGGGGCTCATTTGAACTATGACCCCCGGAAAAAAAACATTCAACCCCATAAATAGCTGCGGCGACGGACGGCTGCTTTCCCGAAATAAACACTGCGATTACAGCTAAGGAACAAAAAATTCCAACCACCAAATTAATGGGCGACGCATTCAACAACTATGGTAATGGCGGTGAGGAGGACCGAAGCCAATCCGACCCATTCAGCTTGTTCGCGGGCTGGTCCTCCCGACCCGACCCGATCCACCTCTTCTCCGACTCCTCCGACCTAGACAAGCGATTCCCCTTCTCCAACTACAACGACGTCGTTTCTCACCAGCTCCTCCCTCAAACCACCACCGAGCTCGACGGAATCTTCACCCAAAGGCAGGTCGTTCTAAACGACGACGCTTCACCACCGATCCTCCACCACGCCGCGAATCCCGACCATTCCTCCTCCGCAGCTCTATTCGACCTCCTCCGATCCGGAGCCCCGATCAGCCACAGACCCAACAGCAACATAACGATCCAGTCGGCGGCGGAGGAGGAAGATTCCGGCAGGCCGTCCACCGAAGATCTCCTCCGAATCGCCGGAGCCAGGTTCATCCAATCGTCGTGGAAACCGGGCGGCGGTAGTGACACCAACAACACAAACAACAACCCGCCGCTCGACGACCTCTCCTCGGCCGTCGGCCTGTCCGACGAGGAGGCGAGGAGCGTCGAGCTGGCGGAGTCCCTCCTGACCGCGGCCGAAAAAGTCGGGGACGGGCAGTACGATAAGGCAAGCATTCTGCTGACCGAGTGCGAGCTCCGGTCTGACCCCGAGGGCGACCCGGTCCAGCGGCTGGTCCACTACTTCGGCCGGGCGCTTCGGGAGAAGACCGACCGCGAGACCGGGAAGCAGCAGAAGTGCTGTAGTCTGGCGGGGCCGGAGAAGGTGGAGGAGATCCTGATGTTCCCCAGGAGGTGCTTTCTCGAGTTCTACGACAAGGTGCCGTTCGGCCAGGTGTCGGAGTTCGCGGCGATTCAGGCCGTGGTGGACAGTGTGTGTGGTTCGAGGAGGATTCATATCGTGGATTTCAATATCAAGAATGGGGAGCAGTGGACCATTTTCATGCAGGCGTTGGTCTCCAGGGACGAGGTTCAATCGGTGGATCATTTGAAGATCAGCGCGGTCGGGATCAGGTCGAGAGACGTTATGGAAGAGACTGCCCAGAGGTATGTTGCTGCATGGAAATACACTGTAAACTAGTGCCAAATTTTCTTTCCGTAACACATTTGATAATAATGAATATCATTCATGCGGAATCACATAAAAAAAAAAAGTTGTGTACTAGATGCTACATAACATACACATGGATTTTCATATCGTCCTACTTGAAAAAAAGTTAAACTTTGACAACATTAATCAAATGTAATCATACATGTAGTATACATTGAAATTATGAGGAAAACATTTTAACTTATACTGATGTATGCCAACCTTATATTAGTAAGTATGATCATAAGAGAGTTTGTGTTGGTTGCATTGAGTGCAATTTTTTCCCAAATTTTTTTCCCCCAAAACAAGGAGAAATCCATTTTATAGTAGCAAATCCTAATCACATAAATACCCGGTCATCTGTGACAGTGTTTGATTAGGTCACACAGTCTTGCCGATGGCCATCAACGGAACACCAATCGGGTAAGTTACCAAAGAAAAAATATCGGTCGGGAGTTGCCTTAAAAAATGTAAACCATCGGTCAAACAGCCACGTGTCGCATGTCCATTGGGAAGACGCTTCTAAAGCATAATAGAAGAAGAGTTTTGCTTTTCCGTCATAAGAGAGTTTGTGTTGGTTGCATCGAGTGCAATTTTTTTGATTAGGCCGCACAGTCTTGCCGATGGTCATCAAGGATGAATAACGCAGAAGTGGCTGAGTCAATAATCGAACTCATAATATCCTTAATATAATTCTGCGTCTTTACCACCTCCACCACCCCTTAGTGCGATTTTTTCCTTTTGCTGGGTATGCACGCTTTATTATGGAATATTGATAAAAGTTTTTGAGAGAGTGAGAGGGATGGGGACGCGTTAGGATGATTACTCAAAATTGAGTAATCACCATGGCTATTAAAATCTAGACTCTTAATTATCTATATTTTATTCTAATTTTAAATTGACGGTGAAGATTAGATTAAGGATAATTTTGAGAATAAAAAAAATACCACATTTGATTTCTATCCTTTAAAAAATTAATTCTATATATAATACCTAAACCTACTCCAACCCTATCTTACATCGCCATCAACACCTATCCTGCCCTCCCACTGCCGGCAGCCACCCTCCCTCCGGCAACCCTCGCCCACCTCTCTCTCTCTCTCTCTCTCTCTCTCTCTCTCTCTCTCTCTCTCTCTCTCTCTCTCTCTCTCTCTCTCTCTCTCTCTCTCTCTCTCTCTCTCTCTCTCTCTCTCTCTCTCTCTCTCTCTCTGATGCCGGCCTAGGCCAGCCTTCCCCCTCCCTCTCTCTCCAAACCTCCTGATCCCCCCTCTCTCTCTATATATTTTCTCCAGCCAATCTTTCGTGCTTGTGCCAGTTGGGGATTGGTATGTATTGTTGGGGGATTGGTATATTTTTTTTTGGTATTGCTTTGTTTTGGTGTTGATTTTATCGCATTGGTATTATTTTTGTCGTAATGGTATTATTTTTATCGTATTGATTTTGTTGCAGTGGTATTATTATTGACGCAATGGTATTGTTTTTGTAGCATTGGTATTATTTTGTTGCAATGGTATTGTTTTTATCGCATTGGTATTGATTTTGTCGCATTGGTATTGTTTTTGTCGCATTGGTATTGATGTTTTTGTGAAATGGTAGTGTTTTCATTTCTCGAATGGTATTGGTGTTATGTGCAATGGTAGTGTTTTGCAATGGTATTATTATTGTCGCAATGGTATTGTTTTTATCGCATTGGTATTGATTTTGTCGCAATGGTATTATTTTTGTCGCATTGGTATTGTTTTTGTCGCATTGGTATTGGTGTTTTTGTGAAATTGTAGTGTTTTTATTTCTCGAATGATATGAGTGTTTTGTGCAATGGTAGTGTTTTGTAATGGATTGATATTGTTTTATTGTTGCAGCTGTATTAGTTTGACAGAACTAAATCAATGGAAAGATTGAGAAAAAGAAGGAAGAGGCATCTGGCTGAAGATTGTGGAAGTGAGAGAAAGAGAGAGAAAATTATAGTTAATATAATTTTGTAATTTCCTAAAATATAATTTATTAAAAAAGATAATTAACAAATTTATTGTCATACCCAATCTACCCTTAGTAACCACTTAGTAATCACCGTAACCTGTCCCGAGAGTGAGAACTCAAACGTTGTACTAGCTGTTTTTTCGTTCAAGATTGTTCGTACCTAGTCGGAGAGTTTGAAGTTCGGAGTCTTTCTTTGAAACCTGATAACATGTCTCATTCCCCTAATTATTAATATGTACACATATCATTCATTCCCTTGTGCTCTACATGTTTTTGGTAATACTACAATCTAAGTAATAACGTATATGGTCTAACCTAAACCAGGTTGGTCGACTTTGCAAGGACAATGGCATTGTCATTCTCATTCAACCTGGTCATGCTGGACGACTTCGCCGACCTCAAGGAGGACACGCTGGCGGTGGAGCCCGGCGAGACGGTCGCCGTCCTGTCGGAGTACCTCCTCACCACTCTGGTCGCGCACTCGGACAAGCTGGACCGCGTGATGAAGACGATCGCGACCCTGAACCCTTGCGTCATGGTGGTGACCGAGGTCGAATCGAACCACAACTCGCCCGTCCTGATCAACCGGTTCGTCGAGTCGCTGTTCTACGCGAGCGCCTACTTCGACTGCCTGGAGGCCTGCATGGACCGGGACAGCCCACACCGGCGGTTCGTGGAGCTGACGGTGTTCGGGGAAGGGAGCAGGATCATCGTCGCGGCGGAAGGGGAGGAGAGGGCGTTCAGGAGCGTGAAGATGGAGGTGTGGAGGGCTTATTTCAGGAGGTTCGGAATGGAAGAGGCGGATCTGAGCCTGTCTTGCCTGTACCAGGCGGAGCTCGTCACCAAGAAGTTTACCTGTTGGAGGCATTGCACGATTGGCGTGGACGGGAAGAGCTTGATTGTTGGGTGGAAGGGGACGCCCATTCATTCTGTTACTGCCTGGAAGTTTAACTGCGAATGAACGACGATAGTGGCGGAGCCAGGATTTAAAAAAAAAAAAGTTGAAAATCCTATGCTCTGAGTTATTTGAGTTAGGGTTTGTTTTGACATAACTTGTTTTTTTTTTTTATTATCACAATCATGGTTTCTATTCTGTCTCTTGTAATTTTTTTTTATTTCTTTTCTCTTGTAAAATTTGGTATCACTCTTAAATGGACGGTATTTACCAATGCTGTCAAAACCGAACCGGAGTTTGACCCGGTAACGGGAACAGCTCGCACTTTAGTGGTCTAACCGCTATTAGACCGTTAAAAAACCGTTAGAGAACAGGTACCTTATAAATGATAATATCATATATAGATGATATATAAAATAGTAATTTAATGGCTAAAATGAAATTTACCCTTCATATACCAATTAGTAATTTTACATTTTATATATTTACCCACAAAACCCTACCCCATTCCCTGCTACCGCCGCCCCACTCATCCCCTTTTCCCTTTCCTTCCTCATTCCCTGCTACCGCCGCCCCATTCTTCCCCCTTTCCCTTTCCTTCTTCTTCTTACAGATCTAATGAGCTCGAGATTGAGCTCCTCCGGTTGCAGGAGCATGTCGGCGCTGGAATTCCGGTAGAACATGAACTCGCGATCGCCGTCGGCCTTCAGAGTGACGAACGCCAGAGCAGTCCTGGCCCCCTTGTCGAAGTTGATTCCATCCCCGATCACGCCGTTCTCCTTCAAGATCCCGACTAGCATGCGCCCGAACTCGTCGTCGCCGAGCTTCCCGACGAAAGCGGCCTTGCCGCCAAGCCTGGAGACCGCGATCGCGACGTTGGCGGGGGCGCCGCCAGGGGCCTTGAGGAAGCCGGGAGCCTCGGCGAGGGAGACTCCGAAAACGGTGGGGACGAAGTCGATCAGCATCTCACCGAAGCTGACAATGAGAGCTGCTGCGGTGCTACCTTCGCGTCGGACGGTTCATGTGTTAAAAACCGGTCGGGCGGTTCGAGCGGCTCGAACGATTAACCGCTCCGACCGGTCAAAAACCGACCTTCCCAGCCGCTGCGGTTAATTGAGTGTACCGAGCCGGGCTGGTGGTCGGGTGACGGTTTTACCGGTCCGACCGTCCGGCTCGGCTCGGTTTTGACAGCACTGGTATTTACCACCCACTAAGTGGTGGGTCAAGGAGAAAATGACCCACACTCACCCACATTATATGTGGGTGGGTTGGGTGATTGGATGAGTTCGGTGGGTTTACAACATAAATGTCATATGTTCACATAATTTCAATAGTTTTTAACTCAAAATGAAAAAAAAATTCAAATTAAATAACTCTTAATCCATAAATCAGGTGAATCATTTATTTATAATATTGGTATTGGTAATTGTCCATAAATTACAAAATATTCAACTAATAAACATGGTCTAAACTTGATAATACCCAATGGTTAAGAAGGCACTAAGCATAAGGCAAACATTTTTTATTAGGGGCTAACACAAACATTTTGATCTTGCCTAGAGCCTCATTCACCTAGGTGTTGTGAGCGTAAATAGCTTATCAACCTATAGTCATAAATTACAATTCAGAATTGATGAAAAGAATGAAGGATGAATCGGTGGTAGTTTGACACGGTGTCATTTTGGGGAGACAATTATCTTTTTCTGCCATTTTGTGTACTGGTTATGCTCAAGCGTACCTCCAACTGCCTAAGCACACCTCACAACAATCCTTTGAGCAAAATTGAGAGAAATTTTTGTGATTATAAGGATTTCATTTTCGGTAAAGCTATATATTAGAGTTTCGATGGTTGGAGTTTAAATAGTTGGGTGGGGTCGTGGGTCAACCACAGTCCACCCACACCCACCCAACCTTTTGCGGGTCACCTTTTTACAGTCCACACCCACCAATAGGAACCACCACATGATAATGGGTGGGTCAATTGCGGGTGGATTTGGGTGAATTCATGGGTTCAACCACCCAGTGCTCACTCCTACCTAATAGCACCTTGTAACAGGTATGTAAAAAAAAATTAAAATAGTCGGACAAGTGACCGACCAACCGACCATGATTTATCAATCAATTAATCTTGGAGTCATTATTTCTTTCTCCCGCATAAAGCTACTAGCTTATAACCCGACCCGTTTGTCGGAGGTAGCTGAGCCGAATATTGAATTATTGGTATGGACGTAATAATGCTCTTGGTTCATGTATATAGGGAGGGCAGCATCTCATTAGTCACTTGTCATTATTTAAGTGACGCGAATTTGTTTAAATGTTTAAGATAGCAAAGAAGACTGCAGAAATGATACCTACTTCGAGTTAATTAAACTAAACTTCTAGCAAGTATTCATTTTATCAACCAGACAGGCGAGGACAACACTTCAATTCGAATTGAATAAGAGATTTCCAGAAGTAATCCATACCCCTTATAATTTCAAAAATAATTAGAAGAAATATTAAAATTTGGAAGCCAAAAGAAATACAAATTTGATTATTCAAATTAAGATGAAGACTAAAATGTTGGTGAGAATCCAAAAGTAGCCTATTTGCAAAATATACAGGCGTGAAACACACTTAAAAAGAAGGAAACATACTATCTATGTCCTTCTGGTTTGTCTTATTTTCCCACCATACTGAGCATTCGCAAGAAAAAAGGGAATGACAATAAAACTGAGGAACGTTGTGGAGCAATGGTGCTACGACAACGTGTTTTCTTTTGGAGTGATTAGAAGATGTGACAAACACAGACAATTTTTAAGAATAACAACATCAACATCAATGTTGCCAGTACTTTCGTGTAGTGATGGCCTAGGTGGGAATCCACATAGATTGGAAAAAGGAACGCACACTCTGGATAGCAGCCTCTGCTAAGAGATAAAGTGGTGAGAATGGTAAAAAAAATACACATTAATTTGTCTTCATTCAAATAAACTTGTCTTAACTGATAAAGAATTGCAATGTGAAAAGGAGGATGGTCTCTAATAATTACAACATCCAAATAAAGAATTTCACCAACTGCCTTGAGTTTTCACTTGTTTATTCTCTAATCTAATAATTTAATGGAACTATATAAGTACTACGTAGAGGATATATTTACAACAACATAAATTACATCCATTATTCTCTAGATCCACACCAAATCCACTGAATATAGCTACCTAAGTTGGCCTGGAATATAAGCAAAAATGTTCACAACCCGGTAAGAAAAAGTTGCATGCAGACTTAAAGATCTCTATGCTCAACCCACACCTAAGAATCAGTAGCAAAAAGATTTCCAAATCAAAAAGAGAACTAAAAAATTTCTCATTCTTGGAAATAACATCATGCAAAAGACACCCACGTAAACATATGCAAGTGTGTATTTGCTAAAAGTTGAAGCAGTCGAAAATTGATTGCGAGAACATTAGGCATTGATATGATAGAAGTTAAAGGTTGATGGCATACCAATCTTCTCCTCAAACCCTCAAAAGTTTGCAGATTAGAAAAGCAACCTTAGCATATACATTCATGAAGGTCAGCTAAAAAATAAGAAAACCACTTGCAGAGGAGCAAAAAGGGATGAGCTCGAGGAAAGGGGTTTTCTTCAAATAACTGTTTGTACGTATTTCTGTAATTCAAAGAGGAGTAGCTTCATACCAGTAAACTACATGAATGACAATCAGCTAGATTAATTCCACTTGAATAATAATAAAGTAACCAAACAATGCATTGTGTCAAATGATATAATGTTCATACTATTTCTAAACGAAAAATAGATAATTGTCGGAAGAATAATAAGATTGAACTCACGGAGAGTTAGTATAAACCACTTATGTATGAACATCCACAGGGCGAACCCCTGATGACCTTGGAGTCACAACTAAACCGAAAGCTTTAAAGTAGGCAGTAGAACCCTAAATTTAGCTACAATGAAGCACAAATCGGCAAGATTTTTATTTGACTAAGAGTCAACTACACAGAGAGCGCAATTGAAGCATACCGGAAATGCTCCAAGCAAGTTAAAGGAAATCCATAACTTTAAGATTTGGTCATTATAATAGCCTTCAAGTATTGATGCTTCTGAAAACTATCATGCCCAACCCCCACTTATACAACTAAGTAGCCATAGTAGTTAGTTGTATAATGACAAAATGTTACAAAGAAAATTACATAAACAACCAATATAAGTAAATATTGAAACCAACAACTAATAAAACTTAAAAGCACTCTATTGGTTTAAATGTACCTCTTAGTAACTACTATGCAATCGAGTATAGATTATTTTTATGCGTTGAATAAGAAAAGTATAGATGGCTCACAAATGAAGACCTAGTAGCTGAAGGTAGCACACAAAACCCAAAAATAGAAAAAGAGATAAGGAAAAAGACGAGAAATAGTCAAACAACGGAAAATCCCGCATATGAATACCTCGCTAACTCCCACAATAACCATCTAGAAAATCTCAAACCCTTAGACATCAATCAAACCCCCCACAACACTAATGTATGGCATGCCTATTTTCTAACAAGTTTTTCTAATTTAAACTTCAAAACAAAATTCAAGCATTGGATTACTGCTAAATAAATGGACTTTTCAGCATTAAACGAAAACTCACAATCATTGCCAGTTATTGCAAAGACATACATTTCTCAGGCCAATCACAACACTTAAGCACAACTTTTAGTTGAAAAGAACAACTGAGCATTAAACTAAACGATATAGTAGAATGGATACAATCTCCTTCCTACTAATGATATAAACGTATACCTGTACCATCGTTTTATCCTGACCTGCCATTTTCGATTGATTACTTTGAAATATAGTTGCATTTTAGAGAATAAACACCCATAAAGACATTACGAAACAAAGCTTAATCCAAAATCTGCATATTCCACTTCGAAGCTTCCATTTTCAGAAATAGGCGAGTTTAATATGTCAAATCACTCATTTGAAAAAATCTCAAACCACTATTAATCAATGCAATATAAAGGCACGTTCCAGATTATGTACTTGTTGGAATAATCTCAAATCATTATCAATTAATG